AGACCAGATCCAGACCCACCTCTGGCAGCAGGGTGAGCAGTATTAGGGAGCATCAGACATTAATGTAAGCATTGCTCACCCCTCTGCTGCCAAAACATATCCCCAACAGGGCTCTATGCCCTGGAATTTGACAAAGCCTAGGAATCCCTACCAGGGCTCAATACCTAGGAATTTCCCAAATCCCTAGCCCCTCCGGGAGTCCTGTGGGCCAGAAATGGTCCACAGGCAGGATGTCTGACACCCTGGTCTAATTTATTCTGACAGACTTCCTGGACAATGCTCAGGCATGACTACAAGGTTTGCCAGAAGCATTAAAAATACCTTTTTACTTGGCACAGGTAAAGTGGAGGGAAGGAGGGGGGTAACAAGAGCAGTGCCACTACAAGGAAAGGAAGCTTGTCCTATATCGTGAATTCATTACAATTTTCAAGAACAAAATTAGCTGTGTTATGCCAAAGACCTGAGTGAATTGCACAACTATCATTAGATGTTAACTCACATTTGGCCATAACATTCAAAGTTCATATTTGGCAACAATGAATCAGTCTTTATCTCGGTTGCATTGAAGCACTTTCATTCTTAAGGTATATTTTGCTCTGCAGGCCTTTTTAATCAGGATTAAGTGAATGGTTTTATAAACTGGACCTGATTCTGCAATGCAAGTGAGGTCTCCTACCTACCTTTAATCATCTGTTCATCATGTAATGCTTGCATGCAGGTTTCCAAGTGAAACAAATATTCCGTGTGTGTCTATGGAGTAATTGATTTCTGAATCATAAAGCAGAGACTGCCACTCGCACTAAGTGGTGCCAAGAGTCCTGCCCCTAGAGCAACACAAAGCAGCTTGTGTGTTCTTCAACTTACTCTGCTGTTTCCTAGAATGCCATGCATGACACCACTGGAAATTCAACTGTTCCTGCTCAGGCATGGGCTTGAGTATATTGACCCATATGAAACTTCACATAAGAGTCAGTCTCCAGTTTTCTTACCTATGCAATGCTGCATCTGTCTCATACAATGAGAAATAAGACTGAGTGTCAGAAATAAGAATGAAATGGGAACTGGAGAAGCAGCTCTGACAATTTCTAATTGTTCCTAGCACTCCAAGAAATGGTGGTAAGGAGGAAAGCAGTAAAATGGCTTCTGGAAGGTATGGGATATAGGACGTGTCTCATTATCATTTCTCAAGTACTAAGAAGCTAGCCACAAGGAGGTAAAAGAATGGGTCAGGAGAAGGATGGGGAAAGAAAATGGGACAGACCAGACAATAAAAAAATAGAATGGGTGGGACTGATTAGGGGAATTAAGGGGAGCAAATGGTGACATTTAGAAGAGGGAAATATTTTTCCTAAAAAGAAGAGGCAAGAGGCAGAGACAAAAAAAATTAGTTGGAGAACAAGATGGAACACTAAAATGAGAACAGAAGATGCGGATGAAAGCAAGAGGCAGAACCCTCACTCGCATATACCCCACTCCAGTTCCAAAAGATGCATTTTAGGATGATGAAAATTTCCAGTTCTGATTCACTTAATTGCCACAACACACTCTACAGTCCACCCAGAGTTTGACAAAACCCACACTATAGTATCAAAACCCTGACACTCACTTTCTGGACAAAAAGGTAGCTACTATAAATCCTAGAAATCAATACTATTGGTTGACTAATAGAGCCAGGGAGAACAGTTAGCATGTTTTTAAATTTATTTTCTAGTCCATCCTGCCCTCATTCATTAGCAAAAAGGAAGAGAAAGAGAGAAGGAAAAAGTGACAATCAAGGAAAACATCAGCTTCTGAAGTTTTATTAAAAAAAACCTGGGAAATTTAAAACCCCACTAACAGTCAATGACACTTCTCCACAATGGGGATTTTTCCATTTATCAAAAAAGGTTCAGATAGAAAAATTCAGCTAGCTCGACTATCAAACTCTGGTGCAAGGAGAGGGAAAAGGTATTTTTAGAAAGAAAGATTGGTGGAGGGAAACATCGCTCTATGCATTAAGTTATTAATAATGAATGATAGTGTTGTTGGAGTGAAACTTCAGAGCTCCACTCCTACCTTCACATGTAACCTCTTTTGTGACCTTGAACACACTCACCCAGACACACCCAGACACACTTTATTTTGGTGCCCACACCAAGATCGGGGTCCATTGTACGAAGCACTGCACAACTATACCAAGAGATAGACAGTAAACTCTTTGGTGTAAGGACTACCTAGTCAGGAGAGACCAATAGAAGAAGAGGTGGAGAGGAGGAGGAAGTTATTATTGCATTTGTTAATCTATTAAACTACACTAAATAGTAGTGTCAGCATAGTTACAACAGAGAGGGGGGGTCAAATCATAGTTATTTCAGCAAAATTATTCCACAACCTGTTGTGTAGATGCAACTTCTAACATATGCATTTAGTGTGGTTTAATTATGGAGATCGACGAATATTTCACTGGTATAAACTACATCTTCACTAGGGGGGGTTGCCAGTATAGCCAAGGCAACTAAATTTTTTAGCTTAGACTGGCAAAACTCAGGACTTGTCCTTACAAAGATTGTGGTAATGCCTTAAACTGAACCTAGATCTCCAGAGACCTTCTCTAGTGACTAAGTCATAGCCTCTCCTTAACCTCTATTAAGAAATATTTTTAAACTGTGTCCCCCAATTGACAGAGAAGGACAATACAGAAACATCCTTAGCCAATACGGCATTGAGGCAAGGGTGGGCAAAATGCAGCCTGGGGGCTGGATGTGGCCCACCAGGCCATTCTATCCAGCCTGCGGGGCCCCTAAAAAATTTAGAAAATTAATATTAATCTGCCCTGGGCTGCTTGTCACGTGGCCCTCAATGGCTTGCCAAAACTCAGTAAGTAGCCCTCTGCCCAAAATAATTGCCCATCCCTGCATTAAGGTCACTCCAGGAGCATTTAGACTAATTAGCAACAACATTGCTACATGCTATCACACCCACAGAGGAGTGCTTTTCAAAGGCTCCCTCCCCTCTACAGGTTACAGGTATTGCAGAGTTACCTGATTAATTGTGCAGTTACCTTGAGACCAGGTACACCTGCAAGGTAATTATCACAGGATAAAAAGCTCCAACCAGCTATAAAGTTAGACCAGTGGTCACCAACCACTGGATCTTAATCTACCGGTAAATCTCAGAGCCTCTTGGAATCAAGCTGAGGCTGGGTTGGGAGGCTAAAGTGCAGGAGTGATGTGTAGGGGGTGCACATGCATCCCCTGAGAGCACCAGTGCACCCCCTGTCAGGCCGTACTCTCTGTTTATCTGCAGGGCAGGGGGCAGGTGGGAGTGCCAGTACCCTGCTGCGGGTGCTGGCCAGGGAGTGGGGCTGCCAGCAAAAGCAGCTGTGCTGCTTTTGGAAGTGGCCACAGGAGTTCCAGAAGCAGCCCAGGTGTTTTTATGGTGAGGAGGATCGGCTGCCAGGGGACCCCCCCAGTTGCTGACTGGTGTTGTTGGGGGGCACATGCCCCCCTAACTCCAGAGGCACCAGACACCCATGGCTGAGTACCCACATGCATGCATGGGTGTGCCCCAGTCCAGCAGGTCAGTCCACGGGGGAGGGAAGTGGCAGGGGCTAAATCAAGGTGCCGCACAGGCAGGGGCAGGAGTAAGATGAGTGGGGCCCCAGCTGTGTGGGATGTATCTGCTGTGGAGGCACACCCCCAAATAATTTTTTCTCCCTCTGCCCTGATCTACCCTCTTCTTTCCCTCCCCATGGACTTACCTGCTTGGTGGGGGGGAGGTGGGGCATGGTAGATCTTGGACTGCTTTTAAATGCCAAAGGTGATCTCCTACTTAAAGGTTGGAGACCACTGAGTTAATGCACATTTTTAAGGTCTAACTGTATAGCCAGTTGCTATCCAGCTTTAATTTGCACCTGTGGCAGGGTCTTTCCTGCAGCCTGCGAGCCCTCGCAGCTGACAGGGCCCCCAGTCACAGGGATGCAATCCCCAAGTCCTGGGGGTTGCAGCTGTCATGATCCCCAAGACTCAGGGTGGGGGGTAAAACCACAGGCTTGCATGGGGCTCTTGGTCCCAGCTGCACCTCACTTGGGGACTCTGCATCCTGGCTGTGCATGGCCCTCATGGCTCGGAGCCCCTTCAGCAGTGTGGTTTCCCAGCTGTGGGAGCCTGCTCCTTGCCAACACAGGGGAGCCCAACATTGGTCTCCTCCTACAGTGACCATAAGGCAGGACCGGATCTAATGTTCAATCATGCCTCCTGCCATACACGTGTGGCATGTTAGGAGGTGCACCTGTGAATCAAGCATTAGATCCCATCGTGCCTTTACCTGCACGTGTAGAGGGGACCACAGGTGGCTCCAGTCGCACATTTCAGTAAAGGCAACCGGCCATCAGGAAAATGCAAATGAAAGGTGCACCTTGACACACAGGAAAAGCAAGCCCTTTGCTCGCTGGGGTTTGACTTCCCTCTGAAACGGAGACAGACCCGGACCCATCCATCCAACGGCCCCGTCTAGGAGGTCTTGCCACCACCATGCCCGACACCGACAGAGCCCTTTTCTGGCATGTGAAGCGACCCAGTCCGGCTGGCTTGGGCAGGTGGCACCTGTGCTCTTCCCTCGGGCAAAGGCAAGTCTATAGTCCAAGGCCGCGTCTCTCAGGGGCAGCTACAGGTCCCGCGCAGCCTCGCCCGGGGCTGATGCCTGCCAGGGCCACCAGCCTCTTCCCTGCAGCGGGGACCCCGGGGAGGGGAAGTCGGGCGCCGCGGAGGCCGCTGCGCTGCTGAGGGAGGGACTGCTCGCCAGGGCCACAAGAGCCCGGCGGCTTCCAGCCAGCGCTGCCCGGCACGGCTGAGGGAGGCAGAGCCCGGGCCCCGCGGGGACGCGCTGCCGGAGGAAACCGGGGGCCCGGACAGCGCGGAGCCCTCAGCCCTCCCACCCCCGCACTTGCACACTCACTCTCACTTGCACACTCGCGCGTGCGCACCCCCCCGCACTTGCACACTCGCGCGGCCCGCGCGTACCCAGGATGTCCCGCCGCCGCTGCGTGTGGGGCTGCTCCGTGTAGACCCACTCGAAGTCCCCCCGCGTCGCCTTGTTGCCCATGGTCCCGTCCCGGCCCGGCCCCGCGCCGCCCGCGCTGCGCTTTATGCCCTCGGCTCGGCGGGGCCG